GATATGCTAATTATATTAAATATGTTATAAATGATAATAAGGATATAAATAATAGAAATATAATAAATAATATGTATATCTTATTTGGCAGATTTAGCAGATTTGGCATATACGACTGGTCTGTCAGTTTTTGCCAGTTTCAGTATACTTTTGGCTTAATAACTCTTTGAGCTTTTATTAAATGATATACTTGTACAGAAATGGTGCTATATCAATATAAGTAGTAAAACACAATGTATGATGGAGAATATAGCTGAGGAGATTGTAAAAGCTACAAAAAAGGTGAGTCCAGTTAAGGATTAAAGAATAATTAAAAACTGATTTATAACTTTTTTTGCTGAAAGAGATCAATCAGAAAAAGAAAATCCATACGTTATCGTCATCCTGAAAGTTCAGAGGAAGAGGATCATTCATCAGATCCAGATTACATGGAGAAACTCAAGAGAGCAAGTAATTTGATATTTTTTTTGCTGTTTCACGCATGATCATAAATGTTCTAACTTTGATTCAGAACCTATCAATAAACAAAAGAAATAAGAATTAAGAAAACGATCACGTATAAAAGTGAGTGATGGTATGGATAAAGATGTCATCATTCCATTTGTACAAACTTTAGAGACACTAGAAGATACTACTTCTCATGAAATTACTCCAGATACATCTTAACAATCGACACTATCAGGAATTTCAGAATCCCTGATACCATCAGAAATTTCAGAAGATATTGCTATTTTGCGTGAAGACACACTATATCTATCGACTTAACGGACACTATTGGATACTATTTCTACTTTATGAGATACACCATGTTCAGTTATTCAATCGACTCAACAAGCCACAATTTTTTACCCTGAAAAAACCTATTATAACAAAAACTATATATGATAGATATTCACCATATCTCATTTATGCATTTAACGCGATAATAAATTATATAAAAGAAACTATTAAAGAGGGAATCTACACAGAAATAAAAAATCTATTACAAGCAAGAGACTGACTTATTTTGCAGGAAACTTTGATTAAGAAGTTGGATATGATATTTGAAATAGAATACACAGAGATAGAATCAAAAATCAATTTAAAAATGACTATCAACAGTGACAAATATACAGAAGAAGCAAGGTTCAACTGCTTCATAAGAGATGTACTCATAGATTTTGTAGCTAACTTCAGATACAGAATACTGAGAATTTTAGACTGTGAAATATCTGAAAGAACATATATTGTGAAATCTCTTTCACCTATCTTCTGTGCATTCTAAAATACATTTCTAGATATTAAATATGATTGGATTGAAAAAGATTACTTCAATAAAAGAGGCAAATAATATGTTTGCAAAAAATATTAATCCACGAAAGACAGATCTACTTGTTATATGTTTATTAGACGGATTGGAAATAATGAATACTGAAGTCTCAGAATCTCCCTTTAAAGTCATACGAGAACACACAGTCAGAGATGCTAAAAAGTTGCTTATGATGTCTGTATGTAGCCTTTGCTGAACGCTTGAAAATAACCTAGATTGCAGTGTCAAAATTGCTAAAGAAATAAAGACCTATAGTATTCAAATTATTAGTGATCATCTTATGTTGTTTTCAGTCTCTCTCATAAGTAAAGAGAAGTTCTTAGCCATCAAACTGGTTTCTTACTTGATTCCATTTTCATTTGATGCAATTCATTACTATATAAAAATATTTAATTTCTTTATGACAATTTGAACTAAGTTTGTGAATCAGGAGAAGTTATAGAGAAAAATGTACTCTTCCACTCCAGTTGACAATTCTGAGAAGATACGAGATTGGTTACTCTTACCTGATGATTACTTTTTCTATGATCTAAAACCTCTACCAGAGAACATAGATGAAGTCATTGTAATATGATAATAATTACATATACAGTAGCAGTTATAAGTATCCAACCGCTCAAGATCATCCAAAATTATTATATAACTATCCCTTAAATTTTTCAGAAATATAATGTAATACAATACATGATCACCTGTAAATTT